TGGGTGTCCCCAGCTGGACCAGAATACAATTTCTTTCACTCTTAAAATAATTTGAAGATAGAACATTCCTTCGGCTGGCTATCCCATGTTGAATGTGGGCTATTCTGAGCTACACAATGTTACAAAAATTTTTTTCTTTTTTTTTTCCCCACATTTAAATTCTGTGCTCTTTGCTTAACTTCTTTAAAGTTACCAGTCAAAAGGGGAAGGGGGAGTCGTCATAGTCTGTTCCATTTCGTCCGTCCACTAAATCACAAACACTTACAAACAACGAATAGACACACAAAAGGACGAACAAAGAATGCTTCCCACAAATTGGAAGCAAAACTGAAAGCGGGAAGACGGTCTCACGCTGAGCTGCGGGAGCGACCCGCTTCATCCCTATACCAATTCAGAATTCCAGATTGGAGGGTTTCCACTTCCTCTTTTCTTGAAGAGGTCCTGGGACATCTCCCAGATCCTCCAGCTGACGGCTTGCCTGTGCATCCCCTTAGGCCAAAGTCAGCTTTACAGAAAATGGGTCCCAGGTATCACACAAAAAACTTAAACAAACAACAAACATTTAAACACTTACCAGCTGGCTGCAACCCCTGGGTCAGGAGTCCTGGGGTATTTGGGGATCCCGGGACCTCTCGCACCCCAAGCGAGAATCATACCCCTAGACCAACGAGCCACCTTCTAGATCTATCAGATCGGGGTGAGTTTTGGGAATCAGACAGAACTGCTGGAACGGCTTCCCAGGACTTGGGTTGTCTCGGTTTCTCCTTTTCACTAGTCCCGAGTGAGGATGTTAATACCTTGACAGAGAGATTCAGAAGAAAAAGTTTTAGCCATGGGGGAGGGGTAGTTACCATATCTTGTTACACTAAAATGTAGGGAAATTGGTCCGGGTGCCCATGGGGGCCTGGAACTTGGACTCGGTCGAATACGGCTGCAATCACCTTTCCATCCAATGAGCTTTCCGGAGGCCACTCCACCTTAAGAGAGAGTTATTCTGAAGAGCAAAAAGTTATTAGTTTATTTTTCTTAATTATCACAGATAAATTAGATCCTCTGGTTTTAAACTCTGAAAAATGTTCAACCATCAGGGACAGAGGGTTAGTCTGTCCTTGTTCCATTTCAACCTCCTTTAAGAAAACACAGAACAAATTAAAAAACAGTGGTCACACAACAAGAGACACCACAGCAGACAGCACAAATATCCAACACCCAGAAGAGATCTCGTTCCAGTATTACAGACTGGAGGGGCCACCCCCCTCCCCTGAAGTGGGCTGCTCTTACCAAAAAGCACCCACAGCCTGCCTGTGAGTTGGGGGAAGGGCTCCTTCCCCCACACATCCGGTGCGTCCGCCGGTTCCTGTACCCTTGGATTGGTTCCCTATGCAAGAGATTGATCCCAATCCTGCCGGCTCCAGTTCCTGACCCCCACTCCCCATCTGTCGGGGGCAAGATTCCGGCTCCGAACTTTTTTCTCCTTCCCGGCCCATGCACCAAATGTTGAGCCCAGGTTATGAAGGAGTTGTTCGGCATGAGGAATTTGCCAACATACGGCAATGCAAGTGCAAGAAGGAGAGTTTATTAGCTAGCTTGAGCTAGGGTCCCTGCTCTTGCCAACATAGTGGCTTAAGCAAAAGACCTCATGCTCCTTTACTATCACATTTTTATAGAAAAATAGAGGGTGGAGTAGCACCAGGGCAAAGGGGTACAGATGATTGGTTGTTGCTAAGGTGTTTAGGGCAGGTATCTGAGATGTTGGGGGACGTGTTGGAATCCTCGGGCTCCAAAGTCTACTTAGGGAATTATTATCTAGGGAGGATGCAGAGCCTTGATACGTGGGAGACTTCAGGAGGCAGGCAAATCTCTGATAGGCGCTGAATCCGGAGGAAATCTCTGATAAGTGCTGAATCCGGAGGGTAGATAAAAGCCCTGAGGCATGGGGAGTGTTAGAATCCCCGACACTAAAAGACTTCTGGTTAAAGATATACCTGGAGGCCATTAGGACTCAGGCCTCACACACCTATGTTAGACAGATTTCAGTGGCACTTCCAGTATAAGACAGACTAGGGAAAAAAAAAAAAAAAAAACTGATAACCTCCTTCTGAAAATTAGCCAATGAAAATTCTAGGAATCACAACAGAATATTATGCAGTATATCACTGGAAGATGAGTCCCATAGATTGAAAGGCATTCAAAATACAGTGACCACAACAAGAGACTCACACATAACAATAGGTCTCCATGAGTCACAGTTGATTCAACAGCAAGTAACAACAACACAGTTACTAAGTGCTCACAACATGGGCACTTTTGTAAGCATAGTCCACAACACACCAAGAGTCTCTCTCAGTCTGTTCCCCTTTCAATGGCTCACTATCAGTCAGCAATAACATAATGTGCTGCATCATGAGCCATCATCAAATTCAGTGGGTTACAACAATAAGCAATTATTTCTTGCTTACATGCTTGCAGAGTGGCTGGGGATTGACCAATATAGGCTGGGTTCAGCTGAGCTAGGCTCCAGGCTCCATGTATCTTTGATCGTCCTAGAATCTGTAGGCTCCCTGGAGCATGTTCTTCTGATGATAATGATAGAAACATAAGATTCCTTGCATAAGTACATTTCAAGACTTTGCTCACATCATCTCTGCTAAACTTCCATTAGCCAAAGCAAGTAACACAACTAATCCATACAATCACAGTTCGCATATACCCACTCTGGAAATGGAGCTGTTTTTCACTGCACGAGATGCTGGGGCTTCACTTGTCCCAGAGTCTACTGATAAACTAGAACTCTTCTCCTTGGATGGGTCTCTCCAAGCTTTCTACCAGGCAGTAAAAACAAATCTTGGGTAACTAGATCAATTCAAGTGGCCTATCCTATTTCAGCTTCCCTTAAGGTAGAATCCCAAGGGGACAATTACAAACATCTGGCCAAGACAAAGAATACAAGGCACTTGTTTTTCTGCTTTAGGAGAAGTCAATTACAGTTTCAGTTTCCTCTGTTAAATGTCACCTTTTTACAACATCCTGGAGGGAGATTTGGCAGCCCTGTTAGGAAAAAAACTCTTTCAAGGAAAGGTTATTGTCTAAAAAGACACAGAAGATCCTGAAGATTAAAGGACCCTCAGGCTAGCTGAGCTTCCCAGAGCTCTTGGTTCTATTTTGAGCTGCACATTTGGTTTTCCCTGTAGCTTCAAGTGAGTCCTTTTAGCTGCACCGCACTACTTTTTCTACCCTTTGCAGAAAGGAATAATAAGGCTTGTTGCTGAGTAATGCATAGAAAGTGCTCTAAGAAGCTGGGGAAAAGGTTGATGTTTCAAGTGGAAAAGTGTCAGCATTTTTCTCCTAATCTCCAGATGTATCCGGTGTCTGGTGCCCCTCATTAGAGCATCTAGTCCTTTCTCAGGGAAGTAAGATGAAAGCCAGAGCAAATGGAGCACAGAGGATCTCTTCTTTTGCCTCTGCTGCAAAGGAGTTATGTCAAGTTGAGTGATAAGTGATTACTGTTCTTCACGCTAACACTCTGTATCCTATTTTCGAATTAAGGAGAGCATTGTTGGCACGCCTGAAAGGTTAAACATTCTCACTCTGTTGCTTTACTTACTAATTGGTGCTTTATCACAGTTTCTGTGGATGGAATGTCATGTCCACAGAGCCCATTCTCCATAGATCTGGGTGAGATTTTGAGAGTGTCAAGAGTTTCTTGTTAGATTACAAGTCACTTTCCTCCTTTTAGGGAGGTATTGTGGCTAAAAAGACTTCATCTGTTAATTATCTGTCCTTATTTTTTAAATTCTCCCTTTTCATTTATAGGGGGACACATTTCTCCTTCTCCTGGTATTTCAGCCTAGTCTATAAAATAGGAACATATACCCATTCCAAAGTTTTGGGAGGCAAGGAGGTCGATAACCAGAACTCTCCTAATGCTGTAGGTGGGAGTGTTGAACGGGCCCACTTTTGGAAAGTAGTTTTCACTATCAACAAAAGCAAGGCATTTTAGTTGGGCTTATTTATAGAAGTGGAATAGCTGGACCACAGGGGATATTTCTAGGGATATGAAATGCCTATGTATTTATTCCATAATTTGCATACATTAGAATGTTTTTAATCAGCCAAATCTGGAAACTGCACATACACTCATCAACAGGATAGATAAATAAAATGCCATAGATTCACAATGTGGAAAACCATACAGCACTGAGAATTAACAATCTACATTTATACACACAACACGGATGAAGCTTACCATCACAATTTTGAGCAAAAAAAGCCAGACACGAAAGAGTCCCTTCAGCCTACAGGAAACTGGTCATGCCCTGCTCCCTGAATTGGGTGCTGGTTACACAGGTGCTTTCAACTTATAAAAATGTATTGAGCTACAGACCTTTTAAAAAATAATTTTTATGGGAAAATATGTTTTATTGTAGTCATTTTGCATTTTTAAATTTCAGAAATATAGTACACACTGTTTTGCATTTCTGGATAAAAAGTGTTGCAAACATATGATGTGTGCTCTTCCCATATGTAGATCATACTTCAACAAGAAGTTTTTCTATACATATGAAAAATCTGCAATGAGTGAAACAAGGAAGTATTGAAGAAAACTTCTACCTAAATTTCTGTCTCCTCACTCCTCCCCACGGGACAAGCAGTGCCATAGCTGACTAAGGAAGAGAGAAAGAACTATACCATTTGTAACCTGGACATCTTCTCTTCTTTCTGTTCCCGGGCCATGCCTGTCCTTCAGTATTCACCACCATGACCCAAAAGGTAAAAGGCAGCAATTTTCCTCTTGTCTGGCCAGCCATATGTGTCCGCTTTGCAGATTCAGGCCACCATCCCATGGCATACTATGTCTGTCACTGGAGACAAAGCAGAAAACCCTCTCTGACTGTCCCCCAGATACGTCTCCCCTGTGTGCATCTATTTCTCAACTGATTCCAAGAAGAGAGGCAGATTAATTATCACCCTTTAAACCTCAACAACATCTTTCTCAGTAGTTAAGAAATAGAGACAAGAATAAATATATTGCTTTTCTTTTAGGAACATTAAGACCAGATGATGACAAGACTTTGTCCCACATACTTTGGACATGTTATCAGGAGGAACCAGTTCCTGGAAAAGGACATCATGCTTAGTAAGGTAGGGTCAATGAAAGAGAGGAAGACCCTCAATGAGATGGACTGACGCAGTGGCTACAACAATGGGTTCAAATATAGCAACAATTGTGAGGATGACACAGGACCAGGCAGGGTCCTGTTCTATTGTGCACAGGGTTGCTATGAGTTGGAACTGACTTGACAGCATCCAACAAGACCAGAGACTGTGGGTTCTAATTCTGGGGTCTGAGGAGGCAATGACCACCTCGTTTGAACAAAATCAACTAGATATTAAGAAAAAAGAATAAGATTATCTAATCCCTTTCCCAGAATATTACCCTGTAGTAAATGAAGAAACGTCATTTATGAGTGTCCCTTACGTAGAGATATGGAGTGAGTTTAATGTAATGTCAGAGATTATCCCTTTGTTAAGTTAGACATCACAGTCAACTGTCACAAATGGGGAAATATGGCCAAAATATTTTGTTACTCCTCCCATCAAGAAAAGGAATCCATTTCTCCATCTCTTGATTCTGGGTCCAGTCATGTGACTTGCTCTAGATAATGGGATGTTAGCACACATGTGTTTAGTAGAGGGTTAAAAAGAGCTGCACATTTGCACATGCCTTCTTTGCTATTAGGAACCCTCCTCCTAGCACATGAAGAAGCCTGGGCTAGTCTGCTGTGGGGTGAGAGGTCCCATGGAAAGAAGCCCCAACCAAGCCAGTCATGGCCCAAGATATAGAAGGGTAGTCATCCTAGACCATCCAGTCCTGCATGAGCAGTCCAGATGGAAGAACTACCTAGACAACCCATAGAATCACAAGACATTAAAAATGTGTGTTGTTCTAAAACACTAGTTCTGCTGGCATAGTGCCTAAGGCATTTGACTGCTAACCAGAAGGCTAGTGGTTCAAACCCATGAGCAACTGCTCAGAAGGAAGACTCTACTTCTGTAGAGATACCACTTTGGAAACCCCAGTGGATAGTTATGAGTTGGAATCCACTCGACGACAGTCAGTTTCTTTTTCCTTTTTTCTTTTTTTTTGGTTATGTTTCAGGATGGCTTGTTACATAGCAAAAGCAAACTGAAGCATTGGGTCAAACCTTTGGGTGGAAAGAAAAATAGAAGGAGAACCAAATCTCTATCACCTCAAAACTCAGATACACAAATTAAAAGGTACATGTGAACAACAGCCATGGAATTCAGAAGTGAGTTAGATTCACACCTCTCTTGCCGTCGAGTCAGATCCAACTCATAGTGACCCCTCCTTGGGTTTCCAAGGTGGTATCACTATGGAAGTAGATTGCCCAACCTTCCTTCTGAGGACTATGGTTTAGCAAATTAGTTTAAACCAAGCAACAGACTTAACCTAACATTTTACATGAGGTCACACTTGGCAGGCCTCATTGCAAGCTGTTTTAGATTCTTCTTTATTGTTAAAGGAAGCAATTTCTTGCACGAGGCCTGGTAGCAAAATTCCTGTTTCTACAGGCCTCAAAAATGGGACACGTCCACCATGGGTGACTCTGCTGGTATTTGAAATACCAGTGGCATAGCTTGCAGCATCACAGCAACACACAGTACAACAAACCAACAGACCAGTGATGGAAGAGACTTGAAGCACTTACTGATGAAGATCAAAGACTGTAGCCTTCAGTATAGATTACACTTCAACATAAAACAAAAATCCTCACAACTGGACCAATAAGAAAAATCATGATAAATAGAGAGAAGATTGAAGTTGCCAAGGATTTCATTTTACTTGTATCCACAATCAATGCCGGTGGAAGCAGCAGTCAAGAAATCAAATGACGTATTGCATTGGCAAATCTGCTGCAAAAGACCTTTTTAAAGTGTTAAAGAACAAAGATGTCACTTTGAAGATGCCTGATCCAAGCCATTGTCTATTCAATAGCCTCATATACATATGAAAGCCAGACAATCAATAAGGAAGACTTTAGAAGAATTGATGCTGATGCATTTGAATTATGATGTTGGGCAAAGCATATTGAATGTACTGCCAGAAGCACAAACAAATCTGTCTTGGAAGTACAGCTGGAATGCTTTTTATAAATGAGAATGGCCAGATTTTGTCTCTCATACTTTAGTCATGTTATCATGAGGGACAGTTCCTGAAGAAGGATATCATGCTTGGTAAAGTAGAGGCTCAGAGAAAAAGGGGAAGACCCTTAACAAGATGGATTGACATAGTGGCTGAAACAATGGGCTCAAGCATAGCAATGCTTGTGAGGAACGTGCAGAAAGAGGCAGTGTTTCATTCTGTTGTACATAGTGTCAGTATGAGCAGAAACCAACTCGATGGCACCTAATAACAACACAACAAAAGTGGGAAATAAGATAATGAACACAATTCCAATGTTTACTTTAAACAAGCACAGAGTCCAAGGTGTTTCTACCTGGACAGTTGAACATGAGCCCATCCTGCTCCAATCATCTGATTCAATATGGGCCATTTATGATCATTAATGCCAAAGGAGGGGAAAAAAGGCAACAGGAAATACTGAAATAATGGGTTATCCAGAAATTAGTTATTTGGTCCTTTGGAAGGAGTGGGTGCACTACTTCCCTGCCACCTCCCTCCTATCTACCTTGTTCTCTCTTTCTTCCTCTCCCCCTGCACACCAGCAAACAAAATATTGAGGCCTTGTCTCTTTTTAAAAGACCCTGATATTGCAAGAATTTCTCTGGATCTCAGGGATAACGTTCTGAAAATATTGTCTTGGAAAGTAAAACAACAACAACAAAAATTCCCTGTAGATAAAAAAACTGAAGTCAGAGTCCTGAGGTCAGATTCCAGGCCTAGAAAGGTTTGAATCTTGGCTGTTGTACAGACATAAATCTTCATTCCTTACTGTTAGCTCTGCAACAGACTGTGGAAGGCAGGGAGGAAGTGTCATGAAGGAAAACAGAGCACAGCTTATAACAGAGGGAGCTGACAAGGATTTCAAATTAGTGCAATCTCCTGAATTGATAAGAATTCCACCAGGGCAGTTAATTAACTACTAACCATATGTCTCTTGTCTTTGCTTGTACTTCCTAATTCAATATGAAAATAATGACTAAATTACAGAACAGACCTGAGCTTGAACTTCTATACCTTAGCCATTTTATTAATAGTGTCCTCTTCTATTCATAGGTCTGCCCAGGGATGCAACAAAGCTTATCCTGACCACATTCCATTCATCTGTTTGAAGACAAGACAAGAACAATTAGCAAAGGTGCATCTGTAAATTCTGGGAGAGTTTTCTAGTTTATATCAAATAATACCTTAAGCAGTACACTTCCCTAAATTCTTTAACTGTAACAGGATACATCAACAAAAGTGAGTAGTTGGACTCAAAAGCAATGTTAAAAGAAAAAATGATTTATTTTTTTTAGTATAATGCAGGATGTTTTAAATATATGTATATATTAACATCTTGCCCCCACTCGAAGTCATATTTAAATATTGGTGAATTTTTTAAAAATATATTGTATCGGAGAATGATTCAAAGATGGCAGAATAGGCAGAAAGTCTGCAAAGAGCCTCTTCAACAAAGAAAAGGGAAACCAATTAACAGACACAGAAGATAATCCAGGAACCCTGAGCCTTGAAGGGAAGGATATAGAAGTGGAGTAAATCCCAACTAGCATAAGAATTTGCATGAAAATACCAAAAAAGGAGACATATGGACCTGTGGTCTGACAGTGATCCTGAGCGATCCTGACAGCACAGACAGCTTGGAGATTCCCGAGTGCTGGTAGGACCTAAGAATTAACCTAAAACTCAGCCCTGTTATCCAGAGATTGCACAGAGGACTGCTTTAGTAGCTGTGGAATAAAAGGGGAAGCAGCGGTGAAGAGG